AGGCAGGAAGGCCACTGGAGGCGCTGGTGCCCCCCGCAGGCAGACAGGGGTCCCTGCAAAGGCCGCTCCCGGCGGGGAGGGGCGGGCCCTTTCTGGGGCGGTGGGGGCTGCCTCCTACACCGTCGCCCCCTCACCCCCCAGGCTCCTGTCATTAGACCCTGGCCGTGGGCAGCCAGCCCTGGGGCCGTTGTAATTAAGACAGAGGGGAGGCGGCGTTCCCAGCGCGCAGGGACGCGGGGACGCTCTTGATGGCTGAGGCAGATGGCTCTCTCCCACAGCGAGGCTCCCGGTCAGGTGGCACCGCTCACCGGCCTCCCCCTCCGCCCTCACGGTGACTCAGCCTGGGCAGGGCCCCTCTAGTGTGCGGGGAGAGGCCCTTCTGCTGCAAAACGAGCCCAGCGGCCACGTGGCCAGGCCCGTGAGAGAAGGCCTGGCCACCACAGCTGGCAGAAGGGCCCCAGGCCAGCCTCGGAGGGGCTCCTGGCCGCCGCGTGGCCACCCGGGTGCCGCCCGCTGCCCTGGAGCAAGGCCGGTCTACTCGCTTCGTCTCGGGAATGGTGGCAGCCCTGTCCCCACTTAACAGATGACGAACTGGGCTCAGAGAGGGGAGGACACCCCAGCCAGCAGCACAGGAAAGCTTTTTAATGGTAAGCACCGGGGCCGCCCGGGGACAACTCACTGTTGGACTCGTGGGGTCTCAGGGCTTGTCCGGGGGCAGTGGCTGGCGGGGCTGGCGGGCCCGGGCGGTGACAAGGGGTGCGAGGAGCCCTGTGCAGGGCCCTTCAGCTGCACACTTGTCTCAGACCCCTCCGTCTGAGTGGTCTTGACCTCAAGGCCGGAACTCTATGAGAAACAGCACGAGGGAGCTGGCACAGACACGTGTGGGTCACCGCCCCTCAGGGGAAGCGGGTGGCAGTCTTCACGTACAGCACGGCGGCCAGTGTGCCCCCGCAGGTCGGCCTTCACCAGCTGAAGCAGGTGGTCCTAGCCTCGCAGGAGCCCTGCATGCCATGCTAACAGCCCCGAGGCAGGGCAGCGGCCCCGAGGCAGGGCAGATACAGGCCCAGAGCTGGAGAGTCCTTGCCGCAGGCTGCCCGGGTCACCGAGCTCACACCCAAGGCCATGCTCTGGCAGCAGGCAGCCCTGGGTCACCTCCCCTGCGGGCCGGCCTGGGGCAGGGAGGACACCGCTCAACTGCCCCCCCTGCAGGGTGACTGTTAACACAGAGAACCCAGTTCATCCCATCCTCATCCAACCAGGCAAGGCCACAGCATCCGCAGCTCAACAGAGCTTGGGCTGGGGACAGCTGCCCTGCTCTGTGTCCCCACAGCCCCCTCCGTGCCACAGGTGGTGGGAGGGGGAGCTGGAGCAAGGACACCCCTGCTGCTCAGGGTCCCCCAAGGGGCTGCTCCCCCTAGGAGCCCAGGCCACCTCTGCTTCTGGCCTCAGCCCCCACCAGCCCTGCCCCCCAGTGAGTACAGCCCTGGCCCCATCCCAGCTCTAGCCTGACCTCCCTCCTTCCCACTGGGCTTCCCACCCACACCACTGGGCCTGGAGCACCTTCCACTGTGGGGGCTCCTCCTCCAGAGCCCAGCCGGGCCACTGTGTCCAGGAAACCGCCTTGGGTGCCCCTCCTGCCTTCCCTTTGCACTCCTCCTCGGTCCCTCCCCTCCCTGGGTCACAAGCGTATTTACGAGGGACAGTCCCACAGAACAGCCAGGTGCCAAGCGTTTCCTGGCCTCCAGCCCAGTGAGAGCGCCCACCTGAGGCAGCCTGGTCCGGGCCTGAAGCTCCCGCCGCAGGTGCATCATGGATCTCTGCAGGGAGACGATGTCCTTTTCATGCTGCAGGAGAAGTTTCCTCTCTTGGTGTGAAAACAGGTGAATGTCCCGCAGGTATCGGATTTCTCTCTGAACCGGCCAGGGAAGACGTCAGCAAACCCCCAAGCCCGCACCCAGGCACACGTTGAGGAGACGTGCACGCGTGATCAAAGGGATAAAGGGTGTCTGGGGGTGGGGGCAGCCCAGCTCCGACGGGGCCTTCCCTGAGCCCCTCCACACCCCCCGCCCTTCTCGTCCTGCTCGGCTTGCTGGCCCCCAGGAGCCTTGGCAGGAAGCAGGAGGGAAGGCAGGGTGTCGTACCCTGGGTCGGCCAACCGAGACTGGCACAGGCCGGCTGCCCTTCCGCCCTCCCCCACTCGGCCCTCCCTGTCTCCAGGTTCCGGGCACTGCGCCCACCCAAAGGGAACTTGTCCCTTCGTTCAACCGTCCCCATCTGTCCTCTGGTCCCTGCTTTGTCTCTGATGGCACATCCCTCAGCAGAGCCACCTTGCCTGGAGCACCTGCTGGGGTCTTTGCACGCCCACTTTGGGGGGTGGAGGCCTTCCTAGGTCAAAGAGGAAACTAAGGCTCAGCAGAGCTGTCCTGCTCAAGCCCCGGTGGCCAGGGGCCCAGACCCCAGCCTCCTCCACAGTGGCTCTGCCTGCAACACAGAACCTAGCTGCCATTTGATAACTGGACCTCCTTCTAAGTCCTCTTCACAGCTCACTGGTCAGGGTGTGCCCAACAGATGGTGTCACCTGCACTTTTCTCTCTGGGTCTCCTCCTGTTGCCCCCACTAACTGCCATGTCCCACATCTGCCACCCCCCCCCCC